ACTCAGATTCATGGCTTTATGGAGCATTTCTGCAGTGCCTACTGTGTGCCTGGCCCTGAGCTAGATGCCAGGAGGCAGGCAGTTATGACTCAGTCTGGTAGATCTCACTGTCACGAGGGGCCCAGACACACGAGCGGGGAGATGGGACCCCTGTGTGATGGGGTGTAGGGATAGCGTGACTCCAAGGACGGTTGTGGGAAAAGCCTAGGGGCTGACCTGTAAAATGGCCAAGGTTCAATTCCACCTTTGCTATACATTCACTTCGACATGCCGGGCAAATTATTCAGAGTTCTGAAATCCACTTTCTACATTTGTAATCCTACCCGGCAAGTTGTGGAGTTCAGAAATAATATACATACATCACTGCGCATGCATTAGATGCTCAGAAGCGCTTAATGCGTTTGACATCTCGGGTGCCCCGGCGGCGACTGATCTTTGCGAAAAAACGACCCCAACAAACTGCAATATTCTGAAATGTCAACGATTGGCTCCATTGTGCTTGAGACGGTGGGAAATACATCTTATTACAGTCTAATCCTTGCAAACTGGCCATCCTTGTGTGATATGTATGCTAATGAGAGTTAGAATATGCGGCTCTCAAGAAATTGCATTTCTTGGCTATTATGTAAAAAGCAATGAAAAATGACTCGCAAAGATGTTGATGGCTGCAGCCCGAGAGGCTCCGTAGGATGGAGACCGATCACTGGGCTCTAGGAATATTGCTGGTGCCGTGTATTCTGTCATCCCGTGGGCAGACATGTAGCAGAACCCAATCTACTTAGCAAGATGTCTTTATGTAAAGGTTCTGCTTCATCGATACTTATTTACATATTCATCCTTTTATTTGTTCCTTTCACTAGGTTTCTACAGTGTAGATTTAGAATTAGTAGCCTATTACTGATGGGCTAAGGGTAGCGGGTGACCCTCATTAAACATTAATACATTTATGCACATGATGGTTAATCTTTATTGTCAATTTAATGGGATCTATGATCACCAAGGAGTCACACTTCTGAGTGTTTCTATGAGGGCATTTCCAGAAAGGTCTAAGTGAGGAAGGAAGACCCGCCTTCAATGTGGGCAGAACCAGTCCACGGGCTGAGGATCTAGGCTTCGTTAAAAAGGAGAGAGCGAGCTGAGCACCAGCATTCAGCCCCTCTGCTTCCGGACTGCGGCTGCCATGTGACCAGCCGCCTCGTGCTCACACTGCTGTTCCTCCCCCACTAACCAGGGAGCTCTGAAATATACTCTTTTTGGGTCAGATATCTTGTCACAGCAACAAGAAAATTAACTAAATACAATGTGGGGACACACAAAAAAAAATCCTCTTGCTTCAGAGTAGAGCGAGGTGATGGCGGGCATTTCTGTCAAGAAATCTGTGTAAAGCTTTTTATATGCCTGGAACAGATTTTGTCAATCAGAGTGTATTCTTTAATGCCTGTTTTTTCCTCACTGCTTGCTGACACCTTTTTTTTTTTTGATTAATTTTGAATTTGTTCATTCTATTTCCAAAGCGCAAACAATATTTCTTTCATTTTCATTATGTCAGTCCTGTTAAATGACTTGCATTTATCTGGCACCTGTGAGTGCGACATATTCCTCCCGGTGCTGGCCTGGAGCCACCAACTGACTTCCAGTGAATTCACAATGTCTAAAGGATGTTTCAAACAACAGAGAGTTAAAAGAAAGAGAAACCAAGGTGGCTTGGTCAGTGTTCTATTGCTGTGAAGAGACACTATGACCACAGCAGCTCTTATAAAAGAAAGAATTAGATGGGGCTGGCTTACAGTTTCAGAGGTTTAGTCCGTTATCAGCATGGTGGGAAGCGTGTTGGCAGTGTGCACGCAGACATGGTGCTGGAGAGGTAGCTGAGAGTTCTACATCCAGATCCCAGGCAACAGGAAGCGAAGGACTCTGTGCCTGGCTTAAGCATTTGAAAGCCCAAAGCCTACTCCCACTGACACACTTCCTGCAGCAAGGCCACACTTCCTAACCCCTGCCAAATGAGCCACTCTCAAGTGACCAAGCACTAGCTTGTCTATATTTTAGTGAAAATGACTTATTTTGAAATCCCTCTGCGTGTACAAGAAAGTCACGGGTAGGGCTCATAGTTGTTGCTCATTCTGTGTCCCTGACTGGACCCACACGTCATTGTAAATCTTTTCCTGGTCACTTGATGGCAAGCTCTAGCCATGAGGCCTCATCACCCTGCAGACTAAGACGTGTGTTCATAATCAGGATATGCCCCCAGTCACTGAGCTGTAGCCTCCAAGGCGTGAAGTCGACTTTGACATAGGTCTGATGTGTCCTTTAGGAAGGAGGTCGGCTTCCTGGAGAAGAGGTACTACTTCACAGATTTAGTCCCTACCTCACTTCCAACCCCAGCAACTCTCCTCCCTCCTTCCTTCCCCAACTCCCTTCTCCCATTAGGAAAGCAATTGCCTGCAGCTGTGACTTTGGGCGTTTGGCAGAGTGAAGCCCTGGCCGGAATGGGATAACGTGTAACTCAGGTGCATCCAATGCCCCTCCTTCCTCAAACCTAGGCTGTGTGTTCTCTGCACCCATGTCCTGCCCTCCCATGAGCACCCACCATCATCACAGACATGCTGTGGTTGTGGGCTTCACCACCTTAGAGCTATCATTTTTATTTTGGTGATGACCCAAGCTCCTGCTGCCCCCTTCCCCATCACGCAACACTGTATCCTCTCTGGGAGCCCAAACAGGCCCATCTTCCTTGCCTTGTTCTCCTAGTATTTTTGTCTCAGCAGTGAGACAAGTAATTGATTCTACTCTCTGCAGTGTCTGGCCATTGGTTTCTGCTCATTTAGGGGGTTATGGGAAAGGCACTCGTCGATGGGGACTTTCTCCAGACATTGGCTCATCACTGCCTTCCCTTCGTTAGGGCATGTGTGCGGGCAGAGGATGGATATCGGCTAAGGGCTGTATCTGCTACATTGTGTCGCGTGGTGACTTGACCTGTGAAGAAAGGCTAAATTCACTGGGCAGAACTTGCAGAAAGTACTACAGCAGAACTGAGTTCATGGGAATGGTCTGTAAGGCCCTTGGGAACATCTTGTGAACTATAGTAATCTAGTAAGAGTCTCTAGAGTGTTCTTAGGCTATCATAGGGAGAGATACATGCACAGGACTCTAGAGCAAACCAAAGGGAAACATAGCCAGTGCTGACTACCTGAGATCCCACCTTTCTACAGCAGTTGAGATTCAAGGTCACAGTGCACCACCTGGCAAGGACACCAGGATGTGAGCCCTGAAGGATGCAATTTACATTATTTATTCATTTATTCGCTCACTCATTCCTTTAGAGACAGGTTTCACGATATTGTTTTGGCTGTCCCAGAACTTTCTATGTAGACCAGGCTGGCTTCAAACTCATAGAGACCCACTTACCCCGCCTCCTAAATGCTTGGATTAAAGGTGTGTGCCGTGATGCCCAGTACCATTATCTGATTTATTTTACACACATATTGCAGTGCGCCTGTGGAGATCATAGGACAACTTGTGGAAGTTGGTTCTCTTCTGCCACCGTATGGGTTCTGGGACTTGAACTCAGATTTTCAGGCTTGGTGGCAGGCTTCTTTATCTGCTGTGCCATCTTGGTGAGCCAAGGATGTGAGTTTAGGTCAGTCTTTACTTCTCTTCAAAAACAGCTGTATTTATTTTATTAGTTTTTGAAAGAGTTTTTTGCTGTGTAGCCTGGGCTACTCTTGAACTCAGAATCCTCCTGCCTCAGCCTCCTAAGTGTGGTAAGCCACCACTCCTGGCTCGAAGATAAATTTATAGGATTTGATTATGAACTAGAAGGAATTCCAATATCTACAGCTTATTTTTTAAATGATCTCTTTGTTTATTCATGCAGTGTTCTGCCTGCAGGCCAGAAGAGGGCACCAGGTCTCATTATAGATGGTTGTGAGCCACCGTGTGGTTGCTAGGAACTGAACTCATGACCCTTGGAAGATCAGCCAGTACGCTTAACCTCTGAGCCATCTCTCCAGCCCTCTATGGCTTATTTTAAGTGGATTTTTAAAATAGTGATTCATATTCATAATGATCTGAGGTCCTTAGAACAACTATAAGACCTACTATGTAACAGAATGGGTATAGTCACCTCTGGCACGGGGACTGTGAACATTGCTCTGTGCCTTCAAGGCCTGTGATTGGCCACAACTTGATAAGCATTAACTATTTATTACTTTTTTTTTTTTTTTTGAGACAGTATTTCTCTGTGTAGCCCAAATTTTCCTGGAACTTGCTTTGTGGACCAGGCTTGGCCTCGAACTCAGAGATCCACCTGCCTCTGCCTCACAAGTGCCAGGATTAAAGGTGTGTGCCACCATTGCCTGGCTATTTTTTTAATTGAAAATTTATGTTATTAAAAATTGCCTTTTGGATATTGATTTCTCAAAGCTGTACCCTATTGTGCTAGGTGTGTAGCTCAGTTGGTAGACGCTTGCTTAGCATGCTCGAAGCCCTAGCTTCAATCCCCAGCACTATGTAAACCGGATATGGTGGCCCTTGCCTGTAATTCTAGAACTTTGGAAATAGAGGCAGGATTGAAAGCTCACGGTCATTCCTCGCTGCATAGAGAGTTCCAAGTTATCCTGTGCTCTATGAGACCCTTCCTGAAAAAAAAAAACAACCAACCAACCAACCAACCAACCAATAACCTGTCTTTTCAAATTCTACAAATTTGGCAGTTTTCTCCCAAAGGATCACCACGATTAAAAGAAAAAAATTAGCTGCCCTTCTGCGTGTGGGTCATAGCCATAACCACTGCGGAGGCTGGTAAATTGCAGGCCCTGGCAGTGCGGGGGGATAAAGGGATGGAAAGGTCTCTGGGACTCTACAGGAGAAACCAACAGGCTGGGAAACAGCCCTCAGCCTTGGGTGGCTCAGAGGGCGCTGGCTAAGGCTGAGGAGAGACTTGGGTTACCTTTCTGAGTTTCACAGTCTTTCCCTCTTTCCCCTCTTTGGGTTTCCAGCAGAGACACTGAGACAGAGATTGGAAGACCTGGAAGAGGAGAGAGGCCGCCTGCCCTGGGTTCTGCCTTCACAACAACCAGCTCTTGGCAGGTTCTTAGGCTACCTGGCAGCACAGACCCGGGTGGCCTTGTATAGAGCCACCCAAAGGTGAGCACCTGTGGATGTCACCACAGTCCCCACTTGACTCCTCTACTGTCCTCTCTCCATTCTGTGGTCACTGGCCATTCTCCTTGCTGTTCCTGAGGTCTTGCTTCTCTTCCTGTATCCTCCCTCCCCATCTCTACAGGGTCCTGCATACTTCCAGTGTCTCAGACATCCCAGTCCTCTGAGGATTCCTCCCTACACTTACCTCTCTGTAGAGAGCTGACCCTGGGCTTCCTGTGGTCAATAATACGGCTAATAAATTCATCTCCTTATCCTAACGAGGTACTGTGCTTTTATCCTTGCCTTTAGTAAGCTTATTATGGATGATGGTTGTTTTGGCTGTCAGCTTGGCTGCATTAAGAGATGTCTTGGACTGTGAACCACACTCAAGGGGCTTTGGGGGCATTTTCCAAGATGATTGACACCTGGCACCGTTATCAGAGAAAGAGGGCTGCATGCGTGCCCTTGCCTTCCCCATCTCTGTTGCTATTCTGCTGACACCGGATTCCAGCTTCTTTGGCCTTTCCATGACGTGGACTCAGTGCTAACAGCTCTCCAGGGAGCTTCCAGGCTTCCGGCTCTGGCTTGATACTGCTGAGGTGTCCAGCGTTGTGGACTGAGCAGCTCCTGTGTTCTCTGCTTCTGCAGCACGCAGGAAGCCATGGCTGGATCTGCCAGCTTCTAGCATGTAAGCCCTTCTAATTTCTCTCTTATAGTACGTACCTTCCATTTGTTCCATTCCTCTGGAAAACCTTGCCCAAAACACCTTTCTAAAGTTTTTTTTTTTGCCTGTGTATGAAGTGTATGTGTATATGCATTTTTGCATGTGTGTGGGTGCATATGGAGGTTCAGAGTTGACATTCATTTCTCTCCATTTTATTGAGGTGGGGGGTCTTTTACTGAACCTGGATCTCATTGATTCTGGCTAGTTTAGCTAAATTGCCTGGGGGACCCCCTTATCTTCACCTCCTGAGTGCTTGGATTATGGGTGGGCCCTCAAGTCTGCCTGCGTTTTTGTGGGCTCTGGGGTCTGAATTCTGATCCTCATGCGTGTAGGTACTTTGTTCCCCAAGTCACCTTCCCAGACCCACTGTCTTTAAAGAGGAACCCCACTAAATCTATTATCCTTCCCCTCCTTCTCCCAGAATCCTTGTCTCGTGACTTCTGCCTCCAGTTGCCTCTGAAAGACCTCTATTCCAGGACACTCTAATCCATGGGGTGTTAGCGCCGGTCAATCTATCATCTCTCCGTCATCCTCACTCATCTTTCCAACCTCGATCTCCAACCCTTCCTCTGCTCGCTACAGTTTTTACCTGGGTTATTGCAGCAGCCTCTTGCCTTGCTGGATTTTCTCTGGCCACTCTTGGACCTCGTCCACCTCCCACAAAGTGATAAGGAGAACCCTTATACTGGAATCAATGACTCCTGGACTTTCAGCGTGGACCCTGTGCTCTGAGCGTGACCCCCAAAGCCTCTAACATCTAATTGGTCAGCACCAGCTTCCCACACAGTAGAGCCTTGCTCGAGTCTGTGGTCTCCCACGGGTCCGTTGCAGTCACTAATGGTTGCTCATCCCTCAAGACAGTAAAGCCACCATCCTCCCAACCCTTCTCCGGTCACTCACACGTCTCACTGAGACGTCCTCGAATACCCTGAGTGACAGTGTCTCTGGCTGAAACCTTCCATCTGCTGCCTTGAATATCCCTCATTCTGAAGGATGGCGGCAGTCCCGTCCCCTCGTTCTGAAGGGTGACAGTCCCCAGAGGAGGACCGCGCCACATCTATCTCTTCAATTGACGCTTGCAGGAGTTACATATGTGTACATGTGTGCATGCTTATACCGATTCACAAGCATATATGTGAACGGGGGGGGGGGGGGGGGGGGGGGAAACGGGGCTTCTGACGCCCCAGCCCTGGGCTGGAGGCTGGTAACTGGTGTTGCGCTGCCGTTTCCTTCTCTGGCTGGCTGACTGCAATCTCTACACTTCCTGCTCTCCTTGTAAGAACGTGAGGGACCCCGTCTTCCTCACTTTAGTTATTTCATTCTTGACTTTTTCTTTAGTCTGTTTCATCTGTTCTGTTAGGACCGCAGCTAGAAAAGGACCTGATATCTGCTTCATTGTCACGTTTTTACAAAGCGTGTGGGCATGGCTACATGGCTGCTGATAATTAAAGTCCGCCTTTGCACGTGCCAGCTGCTCAGTGGCCTGAGAAGTTCCTCTTTACCCGTCAACTGAACTGGAAGGCTTCCCAAGAGACAGTGGTTCCTGCAGTCCTCACAATGACCACTAGGGGGACCTGGACTCAAACTTCTCAGGAGCGTGGCTCTGAGTCCAGGGGAAAAGAGCTGTTCTGAGTGCTGGGGACATTCCCTGCAGAAATAAAGTAGTTTTGTTAACACGGCCAGCTTTCAACACGAATTAGCAACTCAAATAGGTACCTCTTTACCTTTCTGGGATCAAGTGTTTCTTTGAGAAGCTAATGAAAGCAATTTATGTTCCCATACTCAAACTGCCAGGGCGGTCTGGTGAAACCATCAGATTTGAAGCCCTCCAGTCACTACGGGAGGAGGGGGATGTCTCAGCATCTCGGGTTATGAAAACTTAGGGTAATATGTAAGGGGATTTAAATAGTCCCAGAGTCTATGAGTTATTTAATTTTTTATTGTCACTTATTTTGAAAAATTACTGCTCAACGTCTTAAGTAAGCTTGTGGTTTTTGCCCCCCTTGGAACTGCTTACACCAGCACCCCAGTCCCTAGGGTTTGGAGGTCACTGCATGACTCCATCAGTGGCAATCACTCCTCACACCGCCTCCCTGGTGCTAATCTCTGTTGCTCAGTAATGGGGCCAGTCCCTGGGTGAGGTGGACGCTGCTTCTTAGTTTAAGATGGCTTTTTTTTGTTTGTTCAGTTGATGGATTTGTTTGTTTGTTTTTTGAGACAGGGTTTCTCTGTGTAGCCCTGGCTGTCCTGGAACTCACTCTGTAGACCAGGCTGACCTCGAACTCAGAGATAAGCCCACCTCTGGTTTTGTTCTTTGACAGTGTGACAAATCCACTTCTCCACGTTGTTACAATATCCCGGGTAGATTCCCGGGTGGACGGCACAGACATTGGGAGAATTTCTGCTTTTTTATTTTCATATAGTCCTGTCACTCTGAGATGCCAACCACAGGTCAGAGTCACAGTTTTGTCTGCCAGCTTCTGGGATCCTTATTCTGCTGTCACAGCTGCTCCCTGGCTAGTGAAGTCAATGTCCTCTGTATGCAGGTGTCAGTGTGCTCGCTGTCCTGTGGGACACCCAAGGTCCCCACTCCACGGTCCCCACTCCACGGTGCCCACTCCACGGTCCCCACTCCACGGTCTCCACTCCATGGTCTCCACTCCACGGTCTCCACTCCATGGTCCTCACTCCACGGTCCCCACTCCACAGTCCCCACTCCACGGTGCCCACTCCACGGTCCCCACTCCACGGTCCCCACTATGGCTTGACCTTCTTGTGCCTCGGCCATAGCTGCTTTCCCATGTGTCCCCACCTCTTCTCACTTTTCTCATGGGGCCCCAACACCCCAGGAGCACCCGATGGGGCCATGTCTGTCACGGATGCCTGCTTGGTGGGAAGCTGACACACCTCTGCTGTGAGCCAATGGATGCTGAGACTACCCACGGTGGATCGTGTCCATCTGCCACGCTGCTCAGTTCCCCCATGCCAGAAGGAGGGGTTGCGGCTATGGCGGACAGTTTTGGCATAGTGTTTCCATCCTGAGGGCCCGTTCATGCCATGCACGCCGCTATCTTAGCAATTCACCTAGGTTCCTCTGCTGTTAGCATGAGTGAAAACCACGAAGGGCCATTTTGTACTGGAGTACACGATGGTGCTGGTGCTGGTGCTGGTGAGGGAGAGATGCTCTTGTTTCCTGGATGGCTGGGTATGAATGTAACCAGGGCAACAGCCACCAGTGCCCTGGCCTCTAGGGGCAGTTTTAAACAATGTGCCATTTTTTCTTCTTCTAGAAGGTTCCTGTAAGGATGGGGCCTCATTTGTCCCTGTGGTGATCGGGGAAATTATACATTTTTTTTTTCCTGACTCTACCCTTATAGGTTCCAGTTCTCTGGTGTTTTATGGTTGTTTCTCTAAAAGCGACCTCCTCAGCTCCTTGACTCAGGCCTAGCTGTCAGGAGAACCCAAACCAGACAGCTGTGCACTCTAAAGAATCAGACCCCACTCGTACATCTTGAGGTGCTTGGGCTTCCTGGCCTCTTTTGTGGGAGCAGGGTGGATAGCTTCCTCTTTGCTCCAGTGAGTGGAAGGAAGTGTGTTCATGTCTTATCCTGATGGTAGACGGGCAGGAGGTGCTGAGGGTTGCAGCCCCTGGAGACTCTGCAAAGGCCGGCCTAGGCTCCTACCCCACAGTTACGGACTCGGGCCTATTCTCGTCAGCTCTTATTTCTGATTCTAGAACAATGGGAAAAATCCCACCTCTTTGTCAAGCCAGGGTCAGAAGCTCAACACCCAGTTGAAGGAAAGATTTTCATTTTTCTGGAGTGTTTGGCAAGGACTGGAGATTTTCTCATTTATACCTAGTTTCCCCTAATGACATACTATGTCATGTGACTCTCACTGGCTCTTCACTACACTGGTACTCTTGCCTCCTAAATGCACATATGTGTGTGTGTGTGTGTGTGTATATGTGTGTGTGTATCACACATAGACTATCTTTTATCAGAGACCCTTCCCCAGAGGATAACTTAAAACACAAGGGAGCAGTTTGACCAAAAATGAAAACTGAAGGACAGGAAGGATTTCCAGTCTTACCACGATGGGACTCTGGCTCTGTCCAGATGTCACAACTGCTGCTTGTCTGGTCCCCTGAGACGGGGCCAAAACCATAAGTGTAGGCTGGCAGCAGGCCACCCGGCAGGGCCTGCTTTTCCTGTCTTCCCTCTTGAGCATACGAGCCTTTGATTTCAAGTGGGTACCACGGCCCACTGCAGCATCACAGGGCCCAGTGACCCTTAGATTGGGATGAGTACCCAGGGCACAGAAGGAAACTCACAAGATACTGTCAGGGAACAGAGACATCATCTGTGCATTTTGCCGCTGTGCTTTTCTCTGTGGCTCACGATCGGGCTTTACAGGTGGGGTTCATTCCTTCAGTGATTGATGGGAAGGGAACCAGACAGAAAGAGGAAGATTTCCCCATGCCTGGGCTGGTCCTAGTGGGCACGCGTCTGAACCCCTGAGGCTGAGAGTAATATCTTAGGTCTTAGAGACCTCTCCACCTGGATCCCCACTAGCACCAAGCACCAGAATCCCATCATCCCTTGCTGCTGCAGGTCTTTATCTTCCCCGGAGGGGTCTGCTCATTTTACATCCTGATTAGTTTACAGCAGCAATGCCAATTCGCTCTGCCATGAGGGATCACATATTGAGACTTCACGAACATAAAGAAAAGAGTTATGTAGCAGAGGGGGACTCTGGGGACCGAAACACATGGAAGATGGAAACCCGTCCCTGCTTCATAACTGAGCGACGTGTCCTGGGGCCGCTCCTGGCTCTCCATGGATCTCTTCTCCGTCCCGGGAGTTGGAGTGTGGGAGACAGACAGAGGGGTGTTGCTTAGGCACAGGGGCTTGTCTTATGGGTTTAGTAATGGATGTGGCTAACCGTCATGCGCAGAGTTGGCGCCCAGCTCTGCACCTGTAGCTCCCTCCTCTCTGCGGCTGATTTCTCAATTCTGCGTTGGCTTCCTACACTACACTGGCTCCCACCTCGACCCAGATGGCATCGACTCAACAAATTGAAGGGGCTCTAATATCAGCATCCGCCAAGCACATTGGGAAATAAGTAAGGGGAAGAAATGAGTGAATGAAGCAGGAGACGGGATGGAAATGACTTCTTCATTTCCAAGGCTATGAGCTCATTATGCCACCCAGCAGGTATCTGCTGAGTCCCAACTCAGTGATGGGCACCGGGAACGTCAGCACAAGAGGAGCGACATCTCCCTCCGAGACTCACAGTCAAGCTGGGAGGGCGTGCAGCAGCCCAGAGCCCAGGGAAGGGCCTGCATCCTCTTCTGACAGCTGTTGGATGCCGACCATGGTACAGGGAAGAGGCTTGTTGTGCCACCGCCGTCTTCATATTCCTGTCCATCTTCAGTAGGAGTGTGTCCACCAGGCAGATCCAGTGGTCACTTTACTGGGGCACAGGTTAGGATGTGGAGGTCCCCAGCAAATGTCCCAAGGACAGGGCGTCTTACTGCCTCTAGGTAGTCCAGTATGAGGGGGATGGTGAGGTTTAGAGGGTTGGGTTAGTTCAAAGACACAAACTGAGAAACGCAAATCCAAGTTCTCACTGTGACCTTGACCTCCGTGAACTTAGTTCTTCCCGTTCTGTGTGGTCCTGGGAAAGGCCCCACAGGGGACTTCTCCACGGGGGAGAGTGGGGTGTGCTAGAGGGGGAACAGGTTTCTGAACTTTCTGGGAAGTATATGGCCTGGGGTGTCTTGGAAAGGTGACGTGCTGACTGATTGTGTCACCTTGACACAGTTAGAGCCTTTGGAGAGGGAAGCCTCGCTGAGAAAATACCTCCGTAGGGTTGGACTGCCGACCTGTCAGTCAGTAGGGCATTAGTGATTGTTGGGGGAGGGCTCAGCCCACTGTGGGCATGGCCACCCCGGGGCTGGTGGTCCTGGGCTCTATAAGAAAGCAGACTACTGCGGGTGGAAGGGTGGAAGTGGAAATAAACTATTTCCTCCTCTCTGTTGCTTTTTGGCCGAGTGTTTTATCACACAACAGAAAGAAAACCATGACAGTATGAGTTAGCCTGGTCTACGTGGCAGATTGTATTCAAGCAGAAATGTACATTAGGGACTTCATCCCTGTGAGCTCCTGGATGACCCATGACTGGGGAAGCTTCGTGCAGTCTCTTACGTACTACATGTACATACTCTTTAAGTACATGTAGGCCTGCGGTGTCTGTCTGTCTGCCACACCTGTATGTAGGCCTGCGGATGTCTGTCTGTCCGCCACACCTGTATGTAGGCCTGAGGATGTCTGTCCACCATACTCTTCACTCCTTGCCTTTCAGGGGTCCACCATGGAGGCTTCATTATTACTTATAAATGGCCGGCCTTAGCTTGGCTTGTTTCTAGTCAGCTTTTCTTAAATTATCCCTTCTATCTTTTCCTCTGGGCTTTTCCTTTTCTCCGTTTCTGTATACCTTTCTTTGCTTCTTACTCCATGGCTTGCTGTGAAGCTGGGTAGCCCCTGATGTCCTCCTCCGCTCCTTCCTTGATCCTCCCTTCCCAGATTTCTCCTCCTATTTATTCTGTCTGCCTGCCAGCTCCGCCTATCCCTCTCCTGCCTAGCTATTGGCCATTCAGCTCTTTCTTAGACCAATCTTGTGTTTTAGACGGGCAAAGCATCACAACTTCACAGTTATACAAATGCAACATAAAAGAATGAAACACATCTTCACATCATTAAAGAAATATTCCACAGAATAAACAAATGTAACACATCTTAAATTAATATTTCACAACATCTGTACCGATGCATATCTGTTATTTGAAGGTCTGGCAGCGATGACTCAGAGGCTCCACATGAAGGAGAGCCTAGGACCCCTGCCCAGGATGGCCTACCTGCATCCATTACCAGACGGGACTGGCTTATTCGAGAGAAACAGCAATTGCAGGTGAGCAGTATAGAATCTTCCAGAGAGGTAGCAACCCTTTCCTTATCCATGTAAGTCAGATGCAGCGAGGCGGGTTTTGCTTTTTGAAGTGTGAGGGCTCAAAGCAGAGCTAACGGAGTGGCCGGAGGGTGTAGAGGAACCTCTTCTACACATGCCAGGGTTGCAGCTGCATGGCATTATGGGCCTCAGGACCTACTGGCTCTGCTCTCTGACTGTGGCAGTCAGTGTCTCCTCTCATTATTTGACCCGTAGAAGCTTCCTTTTGAGGGCTAGGGACAGATTTGTGCTCTGGGCATGCTTTGTGGGAATTCCTACCATGGTGCACTCTGGGAAGCAACTGTCAAGGGACATGGATTTACATCTGGCTGAGCATGAGGCTGCACCTGGGATGACCAGAGGGTGTGTGGAAGCCATGCACACATGCATACATGGCACAGAGCAGTGCTGACAGCTGGCCAAGAAGTGTCCATCCAGGGTTAGAATACTGGATGAGCATCCAAGGTGAGACCAGAGCCAGGAAGGGGCTCCAGAAGTTCTGGAAATAGTCCTGGGGCAGGGACCAAGAAGTAGCGGAGTGAGGGACTGCTTGAGCCTAGAGCCTGGAGCAGGACCTGGGAGCCCCGAGAAGCACTGGCTAACAGGATCAGGGGTTCATGGAAGATCCTCAATGAGTAAAGTAGAAAAGCCATCAAATATGATCTTTAACATTGACCTTGATTCTCCACATGCACCCCCATCCACATGCATGGGCATCCCACTCACATGTGACCACACGCATGCGAACATAAAAAAAAAAAGAAGATGTAGGATCATCACGGAGAATGGTTTGCAGTTCCTCCAGAACTTACAAATGGAATTCTTAGGACCCAGCGACGCCACAGCGGTTACACACCTGGAAATACACGAAAGCACAGGCTAGAAACATCTGAGTTACTATAGCTGAGGACTGCCCAAGTGCCCATCACTGGGTGAATGTGGAGGGCAGTGTGTTCTGGCACATAAGCCTGTCGTGAAGGACAGACCTGTAAGATTGTACTTGGAAGGAATCCTCCCGTAGGAAAGTAGATTGGTGGGAGTAGAGGTGAGGATGGGGTGGGGGTGGAGGGGGGATGGAGAGTTAGTGTTTAATGGAGACAGTGTTGTGGCTGGATGGTGGGGACGTTTGCATGGTGTGTGTGTGTGTGTGTGTGTGTGTGTGTGTGTGTGCCTAATCTTACTGAACTGTGCATGCAGAACGGTAGAAAAGCTATGTCTTTTGTTAAGTCCCCTTTTACTACAGTTTATAAAAACTTGAGCCTGTCTTCTCAGTATAGGGAGGCTGAGGTGAAAGTGTCGCTGTACGTTCAAGCTTGGGTTAAAAGACGAGTCTGGGCCAGCGATGGGGTGAGATGTTGTCTCTAAGAAACAGAAGCCGAAAGCAAACAAAAATGAGAGCAACGAAGAGGGTGGGAGCCAGAGGGGGACGCAGAGTGGTCGGTTGCGAGCCTTTGCTGAGCTCGGGGAGGGTTAGCGCGTCTCTCTGTGTCTTTTCTGGGTGGGTACAGGAGTTAGAAGCTGTGGAGAATCTGTGCTGTGGGTGGAGAGAACATTCAGGAGATGGGGAGATACCAGGCTTTAAGCTGTGCTCTCATCAGCTAGGAACAGCGAGGGAACAGGGGGCGTGTCCATAGCAGAGTCTGGCATTACATTTGGTTACGTTCGGACTCCTACGCAGCGAGATGGCTATCTGCCCAGCCCTGAGCTCACACTGTGTTCAATTACCTGCTGCTTGTTTATTCCTTGGCCTGGAGACAGATGATGGTTCTGGATTAATTTAGATTCCAGCTTAATAAATTAGGGCAAATTATGTGTGTGTGTAATTGTGTGTGTGTGATTGTGTGTGTGTGTGATTGTGTGTGTGTGTAATATGTATGTGTGTATTTGAATGTGGGCACAGGTGCATGTGTATGCACATGTGTGTGAAGGACAGAGGTTGATATTTGATATCTACTCCAATCTCCCTTGACCTTGTTTTTTGAAACAGGGTTTCTCATTGAATCTAGACTTCACTGAGTGGGCTAGACTAGCTGGCTAGCAAGTCCCTGACACCCTCCTGTCTTCTGCCTCCCCCCACCCCATGCTGGGGTTGCAGATTCATTCTGTGGGTCCCCAGCTTTTGCATGGGTTCTGGATGTCAGAACTAGATCTTCATGCCTGCATGGCAGACACTTGACACCTCACAATCCTGGGAAGTAAACTGGCCAGCGTTCTGAAGGACACCAGACTCTGTGACTTGGCAGCATCTTGCCCTCTCAGTCCTGTTGACCACACATGCCAAGGATCCTATTTTTCTGTGCATCCTAAGTTCTTGTGTTTGGAGCAGGCTGCCTTTCCCCTCCTGGGGAGCTTGTGTCGCAGAGTTTGGTATGAGCAGCTAGAGCCTTCATTTGTCAACCAGAAGCACATCCAGGGATCTATCATTTGTTGGGTTCTCGCAAGTCAAAACCTTGGCTAGCACCTGTCTGTATTTAAAGCTTGGGAAGAAGGGGATGTTTTTCCTCCTGCCAGCTCACCAGAAACATAAAGCTGGCATGATTTTTCCAGTTCAGCAAACTTCTGGAATTTGCCTGCCTTGAAAAGGGGTAGGGGGCTTCACGACCGTGGTGCATATGGCCTGTTCTCAGTTAACCAAGTCATTATCGGCAGAGCAGGGTTAATGGATGAAATCTGTTCCCCCATTCTCTGCAGAAGGAAATGGAAGCTCTCCAGTCAAGGATGTCTGCGCTGAAAGCGAAAGAGCAACAGCTGAGCCGAGAGCTGGAGGAGCAGGAGACGCTGCTCCAGGGGCAGGGCTGTGACCTGATGCCACTGGTGGCCCAGCTGTCTCCAGGCCAGCTGCAGGAAATCAGCAAGGCCTTGGGAGAGACGCTGACCTCTGCTGCCCAGGCTCCTCTCTGCGTGGAGCCTCCTGAAGCCCTCAGGAGGTACTGGTGACTTTCTAGCCGGTTTTCCAACTCTTTCACCAGTTCATTGCAACGATGTTGCTGTTCATTGCCCACAGGTGCTTCTCAGACGTCCAGTTTGCTTAGTGCGAGTGCTGGCGGTGTTTTGACATAAGATTCTTCACTGCTGGGGCGGGACTCTGTTCTGAGCACTGGGAGTTAGCACCCAGTCCACCCAATCCCCAGCTGCCAGCACTGCCCCCTCTCCAATAGGTAGTTTCTATCATTCCAAGGGGCTGGCTTGGTTTTCCTTCCCCCCTCCCTCACACCTTTGGGGTCAATTGAAGAGAGATTTTTGACATTGGCTTTTGCTGAAGACAATTCTCTGGAGAGAGACAGATTCCACTTCTAAGAGATAGGGTGCGACATTGGAAGAGTTGTGACCTGGGGGACAGGGCATGGCATTGAAGGGCAAGTGTGACCTGGGGGATAGGACATGACATTGGAAGAGTATTACCTGGGCTGGGGAGATGTTCAGTTACAGAAATATTTACCACCCAAGCGTAAGGACCTGATCTTGGATCCCCAGAACCCACATAGAAATCTGGGTGTAATGTAACCCCATTTCTGGGGGTGCAGACTCAGGAGGATCCCTAAGGCTTGCTGGCCAGCCAGTTTAGCTGAATTGGTGAGCTCTAGGTTCAATGATCCTATATTATAAAAATGAGATAAACTGTGATTGAGGAAGATCTCTTTCTCTGTCTGTCTCTCTCTCTGTCTCTGTCTCTCTCTGTCTGTCTCTCTCTGTCTATCTCTCTCTCTGTCTGTCTCTCTGTCTCTCTCTGTCTCTCTGTCTCTGTCTCTGTCTCTCTCTCTCTCTCTCTCTCTCTCTCACACACACACACACACACAAACGAACAAATTAAAAACTCCTAAACCAAAAAACCAAAATCAACCAAAAACAAAACAAAACAAAAATCAAATCCAAACAAAGGAACACACAAACCAAGAGGGCAGAGTTTTTATCAGGGCCATCGGGATGAGTGAGTTTTTATCAGGGCCATAGGGATGAGTGAGCTTGTGTTGTTGCTGTTGCTGGCTAAGCCATCAGCAATGCCCGGTGCTGGGCAGAGTGTTGTCACCTTGTGGGTTGCATCTATTATGCTGTTTTACAGATAGGGAAAGGAAATTTAAGAAAGTTAATAATTAAAAAAATGGATAATTTGCCCAAAGCGTTAGAAGGAGAGAAAAACAGACCGCCATTCTTGCTTTCTCAAACTTGGGTCTCAGCTATCACAACGTGGGTCTTTTCCGTGTTTTACCTTGTGGAGAGCTTGTGAAATACACACATGCACATCTACTAGGTTGTTATTTGTTTGTTTGTTTATTTATGAGACAGGGCCTCACTATGTACCTCAGGCTGACTTCTAGTTCTCTGTGTAGCTCAGGCTAGCCTTGAACTTGGAACCCTCCTGTTTCTGCCTTCTCTGTGGTCTTATCTCCCTGTTGCTCTTCAGGGGTTTAAATCTCGTGTTGGAGACGCAGGGAAGACACACTTACACACGCGGGAAAGAGGTGCCTGTGCACAGACAGGGGTGTCTATCGGGGCTCAGGACTCTTCTGGGTCACTCTGCTCCATGCCTGGGGGGATCCTCATCCTGGGGTTCCTGGCTGACTTGGGGACTGATAAATGGCACTATTTGGGGGGACTTTCTAGTCTCAGCTAGCCTCAAACTTGAGGCAATCCTCCCCTTTCCACCTCATGAGTTCTGGGGTTCATCACCACACATGGCTAGAACAACACAGCAGCTGTTACCACCCACAAACTTGACAGCATTGATGGAAGTCAGCTGCAGACTCAAGGTGCTTCCTGGCATCAAACAAGGGTAACCATGGAGAGGGTCCTTCCATGGATGAACCAGGTCGCATCTTACATGGGAACTCCTTAAGAACGGGGCATCCTGAGACTGCTACTCAGGGGACTTCTGCTGGCAAAGGCTGACCAAGGCCTGATGGCATCTAGTGCTTTAAAAGATATTCTTTGAGCCCCGTGGCTTTAATCCCAGCACTCAGGAGGCAGAGGCAGACAGATAGACAGATCTCTGTAAGTTTGAGCCCAGCCTGGTCTACAAGAGCTAGTTCCAGGACAGGCTCCAAAGCTACAGAGAAACCCTGTCTCAAATATATATATTTAATGTATATACACTTTGAGAATTTCATAATGTATGCAATGCATTTTGATCATATCTACCCTTGACTTGTCCCCTCCAGCTCCTCCTGGGCCCCTTCCAATGTCTTCTTCATGTCCTTTTTTAATAATTCACTAAATCCAGTAACTTCTGCCTATGTACACATAGGTATGAGGTCACCAACCAGAGCAGGGCAACCCAAGGGAGACCTCACCTCTAAGAAACCGTCCATTGGTGGCCAGTACCCGAAAGCACCAGGACGATGGCCAGGAAGTCAGTCAGCAGCCAGGAAGTTTACAGGACACAGAAACACAGAAGCCATGTAAAATACCAGGCTCATTGCGGACAGATGGCGACCGATGCTGATGAGGTTGTGGAGAAAACAGAGCCCGCGTTCGCTACTGGAGGAAGAGCAAAATGGAACAGCTGATGTGGAAATCAGCGTGGAGGCTTCTCAAGACACTAAATATAGAAGCCCAAGTAACCTCGCTATGTCACTCCTAGGCATCTAACCAAAGACCACCTCCTCCCACAGAGATACTTGCCCGTCCGTGACCATGGCCGCTGTTGACAGAAGCTGGGGCAAGGAAGGACTAAGCCCGAGTGTCCACCGGCTGAGGAGTGGCACATAGACAATGGGGTTTTATTTGGCTGTAAAGAAAAATGGAAATGTCAAATGTGTAGGGAAATGGAAAGAACTGGAAGACATTACATCACATGATGCTCCGGAAAGACAAACCCCACGTGTTCTCTCTTACACGTGGATTCTAACTTCTAATTTTCAGATATGCATATTTATGTGGGAGTGAGTGGGCAGAGGTCAGGACACTGGAAAGGGGCTTTCAGGAACGGGTGTGGAGAGGGCGATGAAGTCTAGGTGACACAGGGAAGGCGATTCTCCCTTAGGGTCATTGATCCGTTAGACCTAGGCAGATGGCAGCATGGCAGGGGCTTGGAGGAGAGCCTGGGCCCATGGGGCAGCATGCGTGCCCTTCTGTGGGTCTCAGAAGAAGGCGAGGAGTATCACACAATCTACAGCACAGACCCACAGCCAGGCAGCAGCTAATTCCTGGGTGGCAGCGGGAGGGAGGGGGTCCTGCATTCCAGGAAGGAATGGGTGAGCCCAGGAATGCTAGGGGCAGGAGTATATTTCATTAATGGGTGTTATCGGGTAGCATGTGGCACCTTTGGCTCTCCAATATCCTGGAGTCTGATAACTTAGCCCTGTAGACTTCCTTTGGGGAAATAAGATTTATGACACCTGCCATTCTCCAGGAATCAGGCACTGGGGAGTTCGATAGGGGATTGCAGATTCAAGGGATCTTGGTTGGGGGGCATGCCGTTTCCTTCAGTGCAGTCTTGAAAAGAGACTGCTGTGGACTGGCAGGACCCTGTCAGCCCCTCACCCAAACTTAACGGGATGGAAATGGAAGGAGGGGTTGGGAGTGGAAGGGGGCAGGGACGGGGAGAAGCTTACTGGAATTGTTAGGGTCAGGGTGTGGGCCTTGGCAGCTGAGCACCGGTCCTCAGTAGGGCAGTTAGAGAGACAGATAATAACGAAAGCAGGGAGAGGGGTTTGGTCGATGTGGTCCTGCTGGGAAGAGGAACAGGGAAGTGCAGTGACCCCTCAAGTTCATTGTCAGGGTCCTGACAGGGCAAGAGTGTGCGTAGCTAAGCAGCACTGGTCACCGTGTGGTCCTGCCCATCACTGCCCTGTTGGTTCTCAGCTCCAGCCTGTCCTGTGGGTGGTCTGACAGGTTGTCAGAACCACGTGACATCTTTCTAGGGGACACCTCTGACTGGCTTCAACTTTCTCCTTATCCAGTGTGAGACTGTGGATAGCCAAAATCTGATGGCCAAAGGAAGACACATGAAGGTCTCCTTGGAGTATCGTCATCCCTGCAAGTTCATTTAGAAGATGGAAGAATCACGAGGAACAAACCAGGGTGGGGAGGAACGACCAATGCTAGGCATGCATGAAAATACCATGTGCTAAGTAAAAGTTAAATTTAAAAAGAGCTAGGGTGTTACTTGACATCTCAACCCTGGGCTTAAAAACAAGCTCAGAGGTGTCTTACAATTTTTTAAAGATGCATTTAATTTATTTTATCTGTATGACTGTTTTGCCTGCACATATATCCTGTGCCACATGTGTGCCTGGTGCCCACAGAAGAGGGTATTGGATTCTTGGGACTGGAGTTGCAGGCAGTTGTGAGCCACTGGGAAGGGACCTCGATGCCTGCGAGAGAAGCAGGGGTCCCTAATCCCCCATCCCCCCAGACTCATCTCTCCAGCCTCTGCACTTGCCTTTGCTCCTCATACCTCCTCTGATGCAGGTGTCTGGAAGGAACCTGACATTTGTTCCATCCCAGGCTGGCTCCCTTAACTCTGTTGGTAATGGGGCTGGGATGTGCAGGGGGACAGGGATGGCGAAGAAAAGGGGATCAAAGCCTGAGGTGACAGTTTCCCGTTTTCTGGGGGCTGCATCTGTGCATGCGTGTTCTGCCTACTAGGAATGGGGAGGAGGGGTGTGGTGATTCGAGCTCATTGCTCTCCAGTGCCGCCAGCTGTACCTCCCTGGCTGTGCTTCACGCTCCAGGGGAGGGCAGCCTGGGACCTTGTCTAGCGTGCATCTGGCTCCCTGTACATCGAGACGAGGGTAATCGTAGTAATAACAACAGCAGCAGGCTGGTGCGAGGCTTTCTGGCATTCTGCAGGGATGCCTGACTGCTGACGTTGGTCTGTGGCTGAGTTCTTCGCCATTCAGCTGCCGGGACTTTGTGTGCTCCGTGTGAAATGCATTCTGGCAGCTCACGGATGACCCGTCTAGCTGTGCATTTGGAAGAAACATGT